TTGAGAAGTAGAAAAAGTTAGATTTTGAAAGAGATGATTGATTGACAAAATTTTTTATTAATATAGAAAGTAACTAAGGAAAAAATGTATAGATGTTATTGGGATTATAATGAAATAAAAGATGGGAGTGAACTTAGAAATTAAGCAATTTTTTCACGTTATATAAGGATTGAAATCGTTAATTTAAAAAATGTAAACATTTATAATAGATCCAGAAAAAAAAACATTTACATTAGAAAGTAGAAAGAGTAGCTATTATGAAAAAATCAATCTCGTTTTCTGATAATGCGAAATGTTTGAATACAAGCGTACTGAACTTGGCCAATTTTCAGAGTGATTTTTGCATAATTAATTAGGCAAAACCCGTATTTTCGTTTTTCTCGATTTTTCTCGAAAAGTATAAATTTCCAGAAACTTTAAATATTATTTTTCGAAGATAGTTCCCCATAAGTGTCATTCAGGCCAATTATCAGGATTTTCGATTTTCCCAGCCTGGCCAGCGATTCTCCATATTTCCAGTCAGGGCCTCTTAAGACTTGATCGATGTTCCAATACATACTCGATGTTATAACACATCTTTGACTTTTGGTAATTAAGACTTTTTTGATGTTCCAATACATATTTGATGTTACATGTATACACACATCTTTGATTTATGGTAATTAAGATGTGATACATGTTTCAGTGTATACTCGATGTTATAGATCTGTTTCCAATTGAGTGTGGTAAAACCAAAACCACAATCAAAGTAATCACTCTGGCCAATCACAACAGACGAAAACAACACAACGAAACCAATGATAACTCGAAGCAAAATGACATGTAACCGGAGCCAAGCGCGGGAGAAACGCGTGTGACCAAGTTACGATTGGTTTTAGTTTGGCATCTGATTGGTTAAGAAAGTGGCGCGAATTTTTCGCAAAAGCAAAGCCGAAGCAAACGCATGTTTACTTTCGACACTCAATTGAAAGCCGCTCTAATATATCTTTGACTCATGGTAATTAAAACTTGACAGATGCAATATGTTCCAATGTATATTCGATGCTATAGTAATGCATCTTTGGCAGATAATTTAACGGTTTCTCGACATTGTAATGCATCTTGTGTTTTAAAGTGACTGTAATTGGTGTGATCCAATTAAAGAAATGTTATGACATCATCAGTGTTAATGTTTGGCTTCGTTTTGCTAAATATATATGTCACCGGGTGCCCTCATTTATTCGCCGACGAGAAGAATGCCTGGGTCCCCCTCTTC